GGGGGCTGAACACAGAAGTATTTATTTAAGAAAACAAACAACCAAAGTCCGTAATTTGTCCAATATTCTGACATTTATTCTCCATACCCATTGAGACGGATGGAAGGTCAAAAGGTCACTATCACCTTCTCCTTTCAAGAAACAAGGAATTTGAAGCACATGAAGATGAAGGTGGTGAGGCAGAAGAAATTAATGTCACCTTCTAGATCTTCGTCCTTGAACTTACATGTGTACACATGTAGAGAAGACATATATATAAAGTGTTCAATAGACAGGTAAACCAGATTAAGACAACTGAAACAGAACATTTCTTATCACACCCACAAAACTGGTGGTTACAGACTGTAATATCACCACAGAAATCTTTCAATCTCTACCAAGTATTCCGAATGGAACAGATTGTATACCCAAATCCGAAATAGAAACATACACACACAATGTACCAGTTTTCATTCCCTTACTTATTTCCAACCCAAATACTGCTCCATGTGAGTTAACCAAAAACTTCAAGCATCTGAGAATGATATACATGAATATGCAAATAAAAAGAACATCGGTCATGAAAATATTGAGAAAAGTTACAAAAACAAGGAATATGAGGAGCATTAATACACACATATATATATATACGCATGTGAACGACACTACATGTATACAAGAAGCAGCCTGTATAAACTGGCAGTTAGAACAAGCATGAAAGAAAATGGATCAGTTTTAGTTTCAGTAACAAACTGTCATAACACTCAGTAGCGGTCACCACTTCAGTGACAACATCAAGCGCATCCACAAAAGTGCGATCATTGATCAGTTCTTTGAAAAGCAAGACAATAGGCAGGAATATCAGACTGATGGGAAAACTGTTAAAGTACAAGCTACGAGCTACACCTTCCAAACACTCCTAGACTCCTGTGAAAAGCATACTGAAATCAAAGCATACAATATGCTTCTCATCAATCAAACGGAATGTTCAGCATGCAAAGTAGGCGACTGTGAGAGTCAAACAGAACATTTTGTTAATAAAGAAAGATAGTTGAGAGTGTAAACAAGGAAATCTTCACTGTTATGAGAAGAATAAGAAACTTATTTTTACCCTTCTTTACACAGTGAGTTTAAACAAACTCTCATTTGTCTTACAACAGTGATGACAAAATGTGTTCTCTGCTGACTGTGAGAATCGGCAGTAAGATTGTGCTAAATGCAAAGTAAGACTACGTATGACAATGATAATAGAAAAAAAAAGGCAGATCATAACCTGCACTGAAATGGAATTATTATATTATTATACGCTGTGTACAACATTCAAGTGTTTATTTCCGAAATACATTATACCTGCTTCATCACGATCACAGTAACAATTGTGCAGTGGGATGCTCTGATCACATACCCCATACACATGACACACAAAAAAAACAACAAAAAACAAACAAACAACCCAGCATGGAAATCGAACTCCGGGCTTTTGCGTGCAGTAATGAAAAGTCTAAAATCATTAAACTAAGTTGGTTAAACCTCTGGACTTCAGCAATTTTTCCTCGGCATATTAAAAGCTGAGCTGTGTCAGTTAGAACCAAGCTGTACACCGATGGCAAAAGTATCCTAAAGATTTTCTTTGGTCTTGTATCTATTTTTCACACAGTTATCAACATACAACACGACTCAGCAAACATGTTATGTGGCATGCAGAAAAAGATAGATCAAGATTAATCGATTAGTGAAAAAAAAAACAGAACAAGGGAAACAAAAACTTACTCATTGGAGAGTTTAGTTTTAGTAAGAGTTTTATGGCACTTGCAGCACAATAAGGTCATATAAGTGCTGAAGATTAGAGGTGTTACAAGAGAGTAACAAGTCCAAAATTTATAATTTCTTTTGAATATTGCAACATTTGCATTCTAAACACTTCTATGATCAAGTTATGTTTTTGGAAAGATAACCCTATCAATAAGATAATGATTTAACCCAACTAAATAGCCAGATTGAGAGACAAAAACAGTAGCGGGAGAGAAAAAAAAGTAGGACCTACTAGTAGAACCTTCCAACCCATCATCTTTTGTGATTTCAGATAAAAACCATATCAAGTACACAGCAAAAAATGCAACAATACAAAATAGAAAGAGGTGATCTGTTCATTTGAGTAAGAGACAAATGGAAAAACCTTCTGACAGGTCTGAAACAAAAGGCACAAGCTAAGACACACAGAACAGTACAGGACATTCTTCAAAGAAAAAAATGAAAAAATTAGTGAAAATCAGCTTTACAGTCACAGACAGCAGTACAAATCAAAACTTTTGTCATGTTACATACAAGTGTATTTTTACAAGGACCGGTACAAGGTATCTTTCTGTTTCCATTGATGGAATTAAATAAGCTCATACTTACAGACAACTGACAAAACTAATCATATATGTCATATTGCGTTAAATAGCTATCTCAAAAGCTGGAAAACCCTTCATAACGACTGCACAATTACCCACCTCAAGGCAAACATTACGTACCTATTATGAGCATCGCTACAACATTTCAGCTGTTGAGAAGTGGCAGAGGTTTTAGATATATATGACGTTCCCTTCATAGTAGAAATCAACTCTTACACATCATGGCACACCTGCTATAACTGAGGATAGAATAACTCTGATCTGCATTGAAAAAAAAAATCACATATGACCTGCCACCAACATGAACAACAAATGATGACGAGCAAAAATCAATGTAATTCTATTTTTACAATACAAACTAACAAAAGTACAGAAAAAACTTCTACCGTGCCACTCGAAATTCACATTTCCGTAAACTCAAATGTCAATACGAGATTCGTTTGTACACAGAAAACATACAGTCGTAGTTCTCAAGGGATAATAGGCGTAAAATAACCCAATCCCTTCATTATTGAGGCAGATGGACCACACATCTGTTCATTTGCTGAGGCAGATGCACCATGCATCATTTGCCTCATCATTCAGTTTTCAGCACATATACACGACACTTCAACTTTAGATTTTGGCTTTCCAACCAGGTCCTTTCACATTAATAAGTCATAAAGAAGATAATACTTAATCTCAGTAACTCAATTTCAACAAAACTCTGAACATCCACTCCTTTACTCTGAATGAGAGAATTCTTTATACAGCGTTTCTTTCAGAAAACATTCACCGAAACAATGTCAGAATTAGCTCAAAAAATAAATTTCACAAAAACAAAAAACACTGCTGTTATAATTTCAAGATTCACAAGAAACATGGAAACTATTCTTTTTTTTTTTTTTTTTAAATAAAGGAACTGCGTGCAGTGCTTTACATATATTTGTATGAAAAAGTATGAATACACAAGAGTGAAAGACTCATATTGCAAGTTTACATTGTATACATAGCATTATACTGATAACCAAACATTATGTCAAGGCAGAAATACAAAATGAAATTATATTTCCCTTCCTGTCAATTACTGTAATATTGCAAACACATTTCTCACCAAGCACAAGGAAATACCTCAATTCATGGAGAAAATCAGACTCGTGGAACATCCCTTCAGAACCTGTCTTCTGGCTTTAGCATGCAAACAATTCATTCAATAACAAACACCATGGCCAGATATCATGGTGAGAAATCAATATCAATCCATTTCCACAGCACTGATCAGCAGTGGCTACTATGATAAATAGTCGATACAGGCAAAGCCTCTTATGATACCCCTATCTCCTAGCAACACCGCCAAAGCTTTTCACCATTTTCTCTACTTTTGCTACCCTGAAAATATTGAACTACCTTAAGCAGAAATATTTTTAGCATTGGTCCAGGCATTGATAGAGCTATAATTCCACAGAAAAGCTGACCAGACCCTTCGTTTGTTTAGTTTTAGTGGAGGTTTTACGGCGCTCGCAACTGCATAAGTCATATGAGCGCCAAGGGGTGGATGTCAACAGAGAAGTCCCTACAGGGATTCAGACTTACTCAGCTCACTTCTCTAGCTTCAACTGCTCAAAGTCTGCTTCCACTATCAAGGCATCCCGGAAATAGTGGGTCACATGAGTGTGATAAACATACAAAAGAAGTAGAGGAAAAAGATGATAGTAAGGTTTGGGAAAGAAAAAGCAGCAGCTCCCTGCTGTAGTTCAGGCACAGTTATGAGCATGACATTGTCAGATCAGCCCATTTACAATTCTACTGTGCACAAGAACGAGAAATGTCCCCACTTCAGGAATGGCCTAAAGACACTTCAGTCAGTGGCACCGCCCCCGAGGGGGTCCTGAATCCAGACCCTTTAAAACTGCAGAAACACGATAAGTGGAGAGAAGAGATTTGGTTAGCCAACCCTTACCTCTCCCCAGACAGAAATTGCACAAGCTGATGGACAGGCTTGTTTTAATTTAGTTTTAGTAAGATTTTACAGCACTTGCATTACAATTAAGACATATAAGTGCTTATGATTAGAGGTCTTACTAAAGAGTAATAAACAAAGAAAAAAAAAGGAAAGTTAATGACGATAGATGTTCGATAGGACAGAAAGAGCAAACCACACTAGAGCACCCACAAAACTTCCCACACCATGAAATTTGTAGTTGAAGCATCCCTCCAAGTGCGTAGGCATACGAACTGAAGTTACATTGAAGTACAGTGATAAACAACCCACTCTCAGGACTCTATTTATTTACAATACCATAAGAGGGGCAGGAAAGACAGGTCTTACAAACAGCTTTGGTTAACTACAAACAATGCTTTGAAAGCAGAGAAACAGCTCAGTATTTTTTCAAACCGTAGCATCCTACAAAGATCACCTTAAAGTTAAGTTTGTTCTCACTTACCCTTAACTGTTGACAAAAACTAAAAAAGAAACACAGCTTAACTTTCTGACCACAAACAGCTAGAGGCCAACAAGGTGTGCCTCTTGCTACAATAACTTGTACTGGACTGGGTTTTCTTCCCTTTTCAACTCCTGTGTAATGAGTCATTTGGAGTTGTTTCTTTTATAAAAAGTCATCACAGCAGTTGGGTCATTTCTGTCAGTCACAACAGAATTTTTATACAATGGAAACCAGACAAAAAGTACAGAAACTGGCAGTCATTTGCTTTTTCTTCACTGGGACAGATTCTCATTACCACAGAAGTTTACTAATAAATTGACAGAAATCCCAAATTACCTCACTACATCACAGACGATAAATAAACCAACCAGCTGAGAGAAATATAGGTCTGCAAATAATACACAAATGTCACAAAATCTGCAAGCAAATGTCTTCATTTATAGTAGCCTGGTCACAGACACTCATGATAATTACTTATCACTCTTCCTTCACAATCAATCCACTCTCCTCCACATGAGGGTTGGCAGCTTTCAAACTGACCTTTTTCTCAGCCACTTAATATGTCCTATTAACGGGTATACATCTGTAGCAAAAATACTTTTTTAAAAATTAACAAGGGACCGTCTCCACTTACACTTTTCGATCTAAAATGGCTTGAGTGCTCTTTCCAACTGCAAATGATACAAAAATGTGAAACACAAAAAAGCATCAATTCAAGAGGCATAAATGTACAGTACTCAAATACTTAATATGTGTTAAATATCATTGATACACCGCAACATTTAACAGACATGCCTTCATTCATTCACAATTCCACAGGTCAGATCCTGAAGCTCCGGCATGAAGAGAGGTTGGTCTCATGTGCAGGATGGCCAGTCCAAACCACCACAGGAAGCAGAAATGATGAAATAAATTACCAGCTGAGAACACAAAGCAAAAATTAGCTATACATCATAATTGTAGTAGACAGAAACATAATTCCACTGTAATTGATCCTTGTGGGGAATTTGGTGTTTCCTATACTTGAAATTTACAGTAGTACGGTGCAGGGAGATTATTGAAAATTATATTAATCCTATTATAACGAGAGGGAGCGGACTGGTGCAAAATGTCCGTTATAGCAGGATTCTCTTTATAAAGGCTCCTGTAATAAAGTAGGCCTAATCTAGAAGTTTGGTGTTCTGTTTATTCATTTTTGTTATCGCCTTATAATGATTTTGTTCAACAAAACCTCAAGGTCTTGCTTGATCAAAAATCGAATTAGGTTTCTTTCTCTCGCGCTAGCCATGTTGACAACTCTGCGTTGGTGATCAGAAAGAAAGGGCTCTAGGCTAACTAGCCCACTGTGTTGTCCCCCACCCTGCCACACTCTGTGGTGTGTTCTGTCTGATTGTGCACGTCACACATTCGCTCCATCCACCACAGCACTGTGACCTCTCCATCCCCGTATCGGAGAAGTGACAGGCATGGTAGGCCTATAGGCCTATGATCTAGACTAGGCTGGCCCAGGTCTATTGCACGATGCATTCTGCTTGTCTGAGGATGCCCCCCCCCATCACACTCATTCACTCCAGCCTTTATTGTTGACACACGTGGGCACTCATTCTTTGTTTCGCTAGATCACCAACAAGTTTATCAACTGGCGAGGTTTTATATTATAATGGGCCTATGCGCTGTGCACAGCAGCAACAATATTCTGCTATAACCGACTCGCATGTTTGTCTTATTGCGCGATAGCAGTATTTTATGTACAAAGACAATGAAGGCAAAAAAACCCAGGGTTTTAGAATAGTGCCTGTATAACAGACTTCTCGTTATAGGTGGACTCCACTGTAGCATACATGTACTCATAAGTTAATGCTATATTGGGTTGAAGTGGTTAGTGAGCTCTGGTTCACAAAAATGTCAAGAATGAAATAGGCCTTCCTTGAAGTCATCCCTGGTCAAACCATCTCCTGTAGTTATATAAAACCTAGACCAATTTTGATAGCATTTCTCATGAGTCATATATATATATGATTATCTTGATTACGTTCCCTAGAGATATAAACACAAATATCCTATCCTGATACGAGTTTACCATAACAGCTAGTTCACTCATACAAAGTGTCCATAAACTTAAGTAATACAAGGAATTTAGTGCTCTAGGAAACACAAAATCTGGCAATACAAAATAGAAGTTTGCTTCAGTACCTCAAACTCAACGATGATATGTATTAAGCTTTACCATATTGACAGAAAAATCACAAATTACTTACAATGACAATGACTCCAATAATGACCATCAGTTTGATGTTTTTCCACCACAGTGATCTTGCTAAGTTCCGACTCGTTTTCTTGAAAGTGACCGACTATGTTTGAACAAGAGATGATAAATCATTAGAATTACTGATATAACTATAGCAGAGTGTGCAATCCAATTATACAACAATGCACTCAATTCTAAAGGGAGTGACAGTCATGATCTGTGATAAATTCAAATGAGGGAACAAATCTTTTTTTTTTTTTAAAAGGTCATTTTATCAACTCACCAATACAATTTTTAACAACCCCCAAAAAATATATATTGCATCTTTTCCAAGCTCTTAAATAAACTCAATTTTCAAATGTTCTGCGAGTCAGCTATCCAAAAATTACAATCATGAGAGATAGAGAGCAATAGAAATATTTACATGAAAATTTCTGCGTCAACTTTGTTCAAAGACACATGAGCTTATCGCACTTTCAGAAGAACTCGCTAGAATAGCTTGAATATCGCAGCTGAAGTACACTAGTCAAGTCTCCATATCATACACAGTATGTACACAATGTTTACTCCTGATTTATCAACAATATGGGGAAATTTACAAAGATATATTATTCAAATCAATGAGAGACAAAATACAATAAGTACTGCTTTTTAGCAAAATTCCCCTCTGCTCTGTGACTGATGAAGATCACTAGTCGCTTAGCGAGATAAGAAAAGGAAAGAATTGAACAACAAGTGAACAGACTTGTAAAACATGATGACAAACGTCAATAGACAAAGCCTTAGAATGTGTTCGGTGAATTTCGTTAGGATGAGGAGCAGCAGCAGCATAAGAAGGAAGAAAAAAAAAAAAGTTGACAACTAAGAAGAAGAAAAGCTCGCGCCAAGAACCCATGAGTAGAAAAAACTGCACTCACATTAGCACTGAGGTCCTCTGTCTTGTCTACCAACAACTCCAGTCTCTCCCCTCTCTCTGCCAGTTGATCTTAAGGAAAATAACAAAATCATCCACACAAACATTAAATATATTGTGTAATTCGAATTGATTCAATACAGAGCTTAACAAATTCGACTGTTAAAAAAAAAGTAGACGGGCATCGCTTTTCCTTATCCAGTGTCATGTTTGTTAGTTTTTTATGTTAAAGTCAAAATAAAACAACACATCAGGCACAAAGCGAGCAAACCGTTTTGACAGCGCCCGAATATTTTCAAAAGGCCAACAATATTTACACACACTAAAGCAAACTGGTATTAAAAAACAGCCATACATGATGACTCATTTTCCAGCTCAAAGAGAGTGTTCAAGCAGTACATAACTCATGGGCAATACAAAATGACAAATCCTACAAGTATCCACAAAAGAGCATTATATGAGTTATGTCTGTTAAGTTTAAAACTGATTTCAGTCCCATTAGCTTCACGAGCATGAAAGATATGTCTTCAACCTACCTATGTTTCTGACCATAATTCCTTTCAGCTCTTCCACTTGATCTTGTACTTTAGTGACCTGGTCTGGTTTGTCCTCAGACACACTTCGCTAGAAACAGAAGGAAGAAAAAGGCTCATCATTAAACCCATGGGAAAAAAGTGGCAACATGCAGTCCCGAACAATAATAATAAGGCTTTATTGTAAATTGCAATAAAATCAAATTCTAGTTATAAAGACAGATGAGACATCTAGATTTGCTGGACCTGCAGTCTGTCTATTAACATAAGATTTAAACGACTTAAATTTCCAGAATCTAGTAAGTTCTTGATTTGAATTTGAAGAAATTTTACAGGACTACTGCACAGAAACAACATTGCTTAAAAGGGAGCAGATTGGTTATAATGAATAATATCACTTACGACTCTCTGAGGACCATAAAGCAACACCTTCCAACAAAATAGCAAAGAGAATTAATATAATAATAATAATTTTCACTTGTATAGCACATTTCCACTCAGAAAGTGCTCAATGCGCTTTATAATAATATAAAGAACAAGATCATCATACGGTTCTGAAAACAGTCATTTCTCTCAGTCTCTCTTCACTTCTCTCCCTTTCCACAATATATTGCACGCATGTGTGCACACACACACACACACACACACACACACACACACACACACACACACACACACACAT